GTAATTCTGTGATGATTTCGATTTGAGATAGGACGACAGTGCATACTCACCATGATACGACTTCCAAGTGGCCAATCAGGACAAAACTGTGGTTTCCAATTAAGAGCTATCGGATGGGCTGAATGCAAAACAGCAGCCAAACAGACCATAGCTTTGTCGATTGGACATCGCAGAATCGGCGAATGACTGAATGCCACTTGTGTTGCTTAATTGCGCAATTTTCTGGATAGAAATAACCATACCGAAAGCTTACCTTCGTCCTACTCGACTTTGTGCCATTCAGTAAGTAGATTTTCAGTCCTAGTCCGAGTTCGCACTATTCTACTGAAATTACTATTCCGAGGACTATCTAACCATACATTGCATTATGTAGTGTATACTACGCATTATTTGGTTGGTTTTATCCACACTTAACCCACCGGGCACTAAAGTTCGAAGTTAATTTAAGATTTTAATCAGAACATTGGTATCATTTTAACCTGGCAACCTACCAGGCGGGAAGGGCAATGACGATGAATTCCTGAAGTGGCTCTATATGAAATTTTTATTGAAATAATGAAACATTTTGAATTTAATGCTGGTTGTTTGTGCATGACCACGACCAAAGAACGTTGTCCCTATCTCGAATTTCAACGAGAATCTTCATGGTTAGGGAATGGAAATCATTCACTCCGAACCACACGGTCAACAACTGAAAAAGTAAAGTTTAATTAATCGGAAACCTTTCTTGTTTTCGTGCTAATTCACAAATACCAGGACCTGTGTGTCTTGTTACTATGTAGGTATCATTATTGTGGGATTTGTTAATTCCCCACCTACTTTTAACAATAGTTGCGTTCAGTAAACTTAACAAACGACATTACGTGTTTACCTTTCCGTAGGCGGCACTCAAACAGAATAGGCATTTTTCAGTTAATCAGTAACCGATTTCCCAGGGGAGGCTTAACACACATCTGTCGAGAATTGGATAGGCTCTGACACCATCTGTTGCCGTGCATAGCCTCCCGGGGGTTTAGGAATGCAGAATGCTTCCCTTTCGGAGAAGAATTTCTCGGAGTTCGAACCAAGTAGAGGAGTCTCATCTTCTCGGTCACAATAACCATATGGTTTGAATGCACCAAGTGTGAAACTGCTGAAATGTTGCTGGTGTCTTAACTGCCAAGCCGGGCCGTGCTCGAGGGCTCTTTTCGTAGATGTACTCATGGCTAAGCTGGAAATTAGCATCCTGAAACCAACAACAGATGGTTTCACATTATACAAGCTATATATTGATGACATTTTGTGTTTTATCGATAGCAGCGTGAATCTATCTCTCCCGACTCTTGGAAGTATTTAACTCATCACATCTAAATTTAACTCTAGAGGACAAAGGGAATGCGCAACTGGCATTTTTGGACGTTCTACCGAGTCATCGGTCAGACGGGACTATCCAGCGCACCATCCACAGGAAGCTATCCTGGAATATTCAGTATCCAGTTCCAAAGTTGTCATTTGAACGTAAAGAAACTTGATTCACTGACTCAGTGACAGGGCGCGGAGAATATACACAGACGATACCACTGAGAATGTGGTTTGCTTTCATGACGGATACTCAGCACAAATCGCGGATATTTTGAGATTTCACCGGTTGCTAACGTTTGGGAAGAGCCAGATTTACGTCACATTGCCTCTTAAGGCAGCATCATTGCCGAGATGATGACATGCACATTCGTAGGAAAAGCAGTTCTCGCGGCGAAGCTTCACATTGTGTTCATCTCCAAGCCCCTTTCCAGCTTTCAAACCAAAGATAAATAGCCTGTTTCTGCAGTATATTTTTACATGTACTTGTTTACCTGGTCTAGTGAGCCAAGGTATATTAACCGCACGATGTGAAATTAGCTGCACGATCACCAACCGGCCAGACTGAGTATTTGGGCGATCAAGACATCGATCAATACACACCTAGTGGATTTAAACCAAGCAGTTAAAGTGGCCTAGGCGATTCCACCCCTCTACTTGGCTCGCAGGCGCTAATCTAAGGGGATTAGGAGTCGCGTTTTGGCCACAGCGGAAGTGGTCAGAATCCGCCTACATACCACCCCTTCTCTAGGCTCACAATGGCCAGTTAATGCGTGCCTACTGTGGTCTTTACGACCGGTAATCCCTTTTCATATTTGTGAGCCACCTGAAACTGTTTGGTTCTTGTCTATTCAGCCTGAATCTCTGTTTCAGTTTGGATACATTCAACAACAGATCGAAATTCTGATATAAAAATGACATTCTCCGTGAATTGGTGGAGTCTCCTGGCAATGTGGACACTGTTGAAAGGTCCCCGTATCGACTGAATACATTCAACAGCCATGAAAGACATTGTTATTTAGGTCTTGTTGTGTCCCGGTTGAGTAGGTAAATAAGGGCGCAGGGAATTAGACAGTACGTTTATTTTATTAGACATAAGTTCAGCCGGTCAGTAGGCCGGTTAGCAAGCAGGAGTGGGAACCACTCAGGCGATAAACAGGAAGGCTGACACGCAGCTCAAGCGTCATCCGACATCCGCATGCATTCAAGCCGGCATTCAAACAGTCAACGCATCAACCAGCGCGAACGTTCCACCACTAGCTGGAGCCGATCGATATTGCAATAGAGTCAGTCTATATGGGGTAACTGTATGCATGCATGGTAGCAAGCAGCATTGGCCAGTCAATGAAGCAGATCACATGCATCTACGAAACACGGTACAGTCAACTGTAGGTCACAAGAAGTGCCATGTCACACTAAAGAAATTCTTTCATCTCCTTGAGTGGTAGACGCATCGCCTTTCTTTGAAATTTGTTACTTTTAAGTGAAATCCTATTCTGTAAAATCAGCCGGATACAAACTGTAAGCACAAGACTCATATGATGAACGTTTCTGAGGAATGCTTCCTGTCAGAAATTTATATGTAAGAGACCTATGCTTTCACAACTTGCACGTTAACCTCAAATTCTCCAGATAATTTGACTGTTTCAGCATTTGTAATTTAACTACTGTAAATAAATAAGTACTTTGATTATAAATCACAATATCCGCTACACTGAATATTTGATGCCAAATGAGAGATCACGAAAGTTGAACGATTATTTATTCAGTAACTTCTTACTACTGTTCTGTTTCTCTTTATTTATAACTGTACATTTCTGTTTTGGTTTGATTGTATCAAAATTTTACACGTCATTTTCTACAGCCACGTTTGAAATTTTCTGGCTTCAAGTAACCTAATCGTAAATATTCTTGAATTTATCGTTTATTGATTGATTACCTTTTATTGTTGAACCACGGCTTACTTAGAAATAAACTGCTTTAGTCCTCATTGTGTTTTCTGTGTCCGCCCAAACCGTGTGTGAGACTAGCCCTGACACCTTCCAGTTTACCACCGCCGCCGCTCATTCGTTTCCACACCCCTAACGTCCTTATGCTTGTTACATGTCTATGTTGTTTGCATTGCCATTAAACAGGCTATAAACAGCGGTTTAAAAGAAATTCATTCGTTGCACACTTTTCTAAGCCCTGATTTCCATCTTGGCATTGCAAAAAATCTACATAGTCCACTATCCAGGATGCCTTTGTGACCTGAAAGATAGTGAGGGGTAGTTATGCGCCCTAACGGATGGATTTATAGCAAATCAGGTGATCTATGTAGCTGGCCCACTTTTTCATTATTCAGCTTCACTTGGACAGGCCCTTCGAGGAGACAGATCGATCGATTTACCACCAGCGACTTGACAATCATTTTAACTGCTTAGAAGGGGATTTTTTCAGTGATCCCTACTTCGGGAACTGTGAGACTGACTTGCATCAAATTTAAGGGCATTTTTAGAGTCCAGTCATCGAGAAAAGATACAAAAATGAATATAATTGATAGACGGAGCTAGTCAGTGCCAAATCTCAAAAACATGAAGCCGTCCGGCACTTGAAATGCCATCCCATCTAAGGGACTAACTACAGTTTTCTTTTCTTTTAAGCCATATAATTTTACTTTTCACTTGATAACGCTTTCGCAAGTTAACCACTTGTTTTTTTCTCCTCATTGGATTTGAATACCTGTCCAGATTCGCTCTTTGAATTTTACTTCCGCCTTAGGTACACTTTTCGAAAAAGCCACCCGCGGTCCGCTCCCGACTATCCCACTGTTTCGACCTGGTTGGAAGACAATAAGGCTTGTGATCCGGACGATACGGTGTTATATGCCATCCTGACCCAATGGAACGAACGGGAAAACGTTTGTGCTTCCCACGTGTACCTGTCCTCTGTCCGGGCCAAATTGAACCGGACACAGTTTGTCCTACTAGACGGCACATCATGTGGTCGTCGCTTACGTTTTACCCCGCACCCGGATCTACCATCCGGAGTGACTGTATTCCTACCCGCCACTCAAGACGTCCCGCTAGCCCAGTTCCGTTTGGGGTGTGTGATTCGTATATGCAATGTTGCTTGATACTTTATTCACTTGTAACTTGTAGGGTGACTGTCACTGGCCCGTAACTCTGTCATTCTCAGGTCAGCACACATCATTCAGTGGAGAACTGAGAGAAACTTCGATTGCGATCCTATCGTCATTTTAGAGGCGGAAGTTTGACAACTTGAGTTCCAACGGCTCGTTTTCACGAA